TTGTACAGACTTCAAGCACATTGAGTGCTCTTTCCAATCGCCGAAAATACCACACATCTGCTATCTAGAAAGCGGTTCACCCTCTGCCCGCCTGCCCACGCCTGATAAACATCAGAGTATTGCTTTCTGTGTGTGCACTTATTTTGTTCAAAAACTTTAACTAGGGAGAAAAATGTTTCTTGGGCTCCTCACTAGTCTTCTAGTTGCCTCCCTGTCACTGTGCGCCCCTGCCTCAGTGGGTTTAGCCACTAGTCTCGTGTGGACAGGCACTTAGCTTGCTTCTATCTTTGGACTATTGTGAAGCACACTGCCACGTACACAGGTATGCAGACGTCTATTCCGCCGCTGTTCTACTGTCTCTAGCACATCGACCTACGAGTGGGGCTGCCGGATCGCATGGTGCTTCTACTGCTAGGGCGGTGAGGAAGCCCCACATCGTTTTCCACCGCGCTTGGACCACGCACCAATGCTCACAGTCAGGTGACAGAGTTCCTGCGGGCTCTGGTTCGGACGTCTGGACGAAATCAGCCGATGCTGACTCGGCAACGCTAAAGGCTGGGGTAGAACTGCCCCTGGGGGTTTCCAAGACTGGACCGCTCTCCGGGAGTAGAAGGCCTCCTCTTTCCTTCCTGGAGTGTCTGTCTGGTGGTTTTAAATTGCTTGCGGGGACTAGACTAAAGTGTCTTTTAGTAATGAAAGTATTCCTTGTCATTTTCATATTTTGATTTAGAACAGTGGTTCTCAACCTTCCTAATGCCGCGGCCCTTTAATCCAGCTCCTCACGTGGTGGTGACCCCAACCATCAAATTATTTTCATTGCTACTTCATCATTGTCATTTTGCTACTGTGATGAATCGGGAGACCCCAGTGAAAGGGTTGTTTGACCCCTGAAGGGGTCGCGACCCACAGGTTGAGAACCACTGATTTAGACCATTAACAAATCTGACTAAAATTGGATAAAGCCCTTCTCCTCAGCCTCCCTCGAGGATCAAGCTGGGGGTGGGGTGGGGGGCACTCATCAGCTGCGGCTAAATATGTAAATGAGAGGCAGGAATCTTCAAAAGAAGAAGCCTGATCCAGGGAGGACGGGCCCACCTGGCCTAGTAGCCTCCGAAGCAAGACCTGGCCAGGAACTTGAGCAGAATCAGAACCACGTGTCGGGTCGCTGCGCTGCAGCCAGGTGGCCAAGTTTGGAGTCGGGAGGGCTGGATGTTGTTACGGATTGAATTGTGTCCTCCCAAAAGCTGTGTTGACTCCGTGGTTAAACACTCCGACGGGAACGGAGAGGAGGATGGCTCAAAGACTTCCCTAGAGGGCAGCCTTGGAGACCCATGGGGCAGTTCTACTCTGGCCTGTGGGGTTGAAATGAGTTGGAATCAGCTGGACGGCGATGGGGGGGGGGAGCAGCAAGGAGGGGCCGAGGCAGATGCCCCAAGAGGAAGTAAAGAACAGGCAACACAGGCGGTCTCAGCGTTACTTGGCACAATGGGTAGAAGGAGGGAAGGCGGGTTCCAGTAGCTGGCATATCTCCTGGAGGATGCATGCCAACTGTGTTGATGAGGCTGCGGCAAAGAAGTGCCCGGGACTTCGTGTCTCTCTTGTGAGCCCGTCTGAGGTTCAGAGTCCTTGCCCTTGGCATGAGCAGGGGCAGGGCCTCCTGACTCGAGCGTAAACCACCTGCTATCTTAAATTCCAAGGAGAGCAGGGCAAAGAACTAAGGGCCTGGCAGGAGGAGGTGCAGGATAATAGAGGTTACGCACGAGCATTTTGTTGGATCTTGGAATAGAGCAGAGGGTGGAGGAGAAGCCCGCACTATCTTTATCCTGCCGACCCATGAGGATCCTGAGCACTTGGCCTCTCTGGGCCTCTAGAAACGGAGAGCTGAGAGGCACACAGAAGCGTGATAACAAGGGCATCTGTGTGGAAAGGCTAAAGAGGAACTATATGTTTCTGAAGACCACCACCACCTAATCAGTTTCATCCTTTTCATGAGGGTCTGCAGCTCTATCTGGTCAAACCCACTTCAATTGCCCCGAAATGGGCAATTACTTAAAGATGTACATTTAAATATGTAATTCTGTGTAGCCATAAACAATCATATTGAAGAAAGGCACTTCATTAAACAGAGCATACTTCATGATTCAATTTGGGGGGAAATGGTTAAAACCTAAATTCATTTAAAAAGTCATCTGCAACATGAACCAAAATACGAATGACCATCATCTTTGGGTTCGGAGATGATGCCTGGCTTTTCTTTTGTTCACCTACTCCACCCCCATCCTCTTGTTTTCTTTTCTTTCTTTTTTTGCTCTTTGGATTTTCCTACTTTTGGTAGCCATTTATGGATTTTTTTCAATCACAATAAAGAAAAAAGTCACCATTTTTAAGAGGGTTCAAGTTGAAGCACACATGCCATGGTTCTGGATGCTGTGGTAGGTCAGTGTCATGGGGTTTTTGAATGTAGTGGGAGGAGAGTACCCCTGCTGGCTGCGTTCTTTGCCTCTCTGGAAAGTTCGCGGAAGTCTGGAGAAGGCTTATGGCTGGGACAGCTGCTGGGGAGATCTAGCAGATGGTCAGATTTTGAGACCTAGATCGTGGGTGCTATTCTGACTTCACTGTTTCTAAAATAGAGGTTATAATTGCCCCCCCTATCCCCACCCCCGGCAATAATGGGCCAGAAGTCTACATTTTCAGCTTGGGAGAACACGTGGACTCTGTTGAACCACTCAATGCTGCCGTTGTAACACAAAGCGACTACAGACAGTATGTACACAGAGAAGGGAGGCTGGGTGTGACTAAAATTGTGTGTGCTGACCCTGGTACACTCCAGGTTTCCCATCATAGTTTGATAAGCTGAGTCAAGTCAACCCCGTATCTAGATGGGTCTAAACTAAGGTGACCAGACGTCCCGATTTTTAACAATTTTTCCTGCGTCCCACGCGTTTTAAAAAAGTCCTGATTTTTGGAAAGAATGCACGACAAGCTAGGGTATACGGTTTTCGGCTGCCATGTGGATATTTCGCCAGGATATGAGTTTCATCAGTGGTGTCCCGTTTTACCAATGTTAAAATCTGGTCACCCTAGTAAATTGAGGGTGGTTCCTAAAAGCTCTTGCCAGTCTGCAGGGTGGCAGGTGAAGGAAGCCCTTCAGGACTGTGTTTATGTTTTCAGTCATTTAATGCTCTTTTCCCCTCAGCCAAATTGTGACCTGCAGCGGTTGAAAATCCGTGGGCCTCATACCATGTCATATAAATGAAAGGTGTTTGATTCACCTTTGAGGAGCCTTGGTGGCATGGTGAGTTACACAAGGGGCTGTGAACTGCAAGGTCAGCAGTTCGAAGCCAGCAGCCGCTCTGAAAGATGAGGCTTTCTGCTCCCATATCGATGTATAGCCTCAGAAAGCCAAAGGGGCAGTTCTTCTCTGACCTGTAAGGTTACCATGATTCAGAATGGACTCCCTAGCAACTGGTCTGGAGACACACCTTTGTGAACCCCGAGTGAACGAGTGGCTGCCCTCTCTCTGTCCCGCAGCTGGTATGAAATGCAGTTCCCAAGGGAGAGCCAACATGAGAGCCAACCGAGCTCTGTCCTTGAAGGTCCCACCTTGAATGGGACGCCTTGTGTCTCTGAGGCTGAGAGCATTCACCTGCACAAAACAGCTCGCGAGACCGGCCACGATGCCCGGTCACATGGCCAAGAATCCCGGCGCCCAGGCCCCTGCTGTGCACACTGGCCCTCCACCTAGGCAGGTGTCCACACCGGAAGATAGTCCCATGTCCACTGCACAGACAATACCCACGGCTTCTAGAGGGCATTGATCCCTGACCCGGGAAGGACCGTTTTTGAAGATGTTTCCAGAGCATCTCCACATGAAGAGCCACAGAGTCTTGGCCAAAGCTGGCCTTTCTGGCCGGTTTCCCCGTTCTTTTCAGCAACTCATTCCACAAGCCTGAAGGGTCCCAAGAGGATGGTGCCATGGGCCCGCCGGTCCCCCTGGGGCACACTGCGCCTATTTTGCATTCCTCTGCCTTGGTGGAGTCACCCAAGGGAGCACCATGATGGAAAACTTCTCTTGTTCCTTTTGACACAGACGCAGCCTTCATCGCTCTCCAAATGCAAAGCACAAGGGCGAGACAGGAAATACTGCAAGGTCTGCGACTTCTGGACCCAAGCTCTTTTCTTCCATGGCTGGTCCCTCCGGGACACACAGGCCCAGCCTCAGGAGGAGGCTCTCAGCAGATCCCAGGATTCACTCACAGAGGAGGGAATGTTAAAGGGTATGCCTCCCACAGAGAGAGTCTAGGGGCAACAGCCAGTCAGAAGCAATACTCATTGTGAGGATGGTCCAGGACCGGGCAGTACTTCCTTCTGTTGCACACAGACAGGGTTGCTAGAGGTTGGAATCCACTCAACGGCACACACAGCAACACTATACAAAGTACTCTGCTGAAATGGATTCAGGTGCCTGACGGGCTAACTACGTCCCAGGGACACACCTTGATGTGGAAGACAGGGTGCATGAGGGGGTTTTGAAAAGGTTAAGGGAAAATGTCATTATCTCTCCATGTCCATTTCCCACGAACTTTTTGAAGCCCTCTTCTACGTGTGGCGATAAGCATCGCCCAGAGAATACAGATGCACACATCCATCTGCCTGCATTCATGTTTCTAGGAGATATGAACAGTCACTGAGAAGGTGGGTGCCCAAACCAATGATCAGATACCAAGTCCTAGAATTCTGGGTCCCCCATCAACCTACGCACCTCCGAGTGACCTCACTGGCAGCCACCAAGGCGCCTGCAGAAAGCACATAAAAATAGAAGCCAGAAAAACTCGACAACAAACTAATGGCAGGGAGATGTTCCCAGAGACATAACCCTGAGAAGCCAAAGCCCAGAACGCGTCAGAGGTCCCAGGCACAGAGCTTCTGGTGGCCCGGGCGGCCCCAAGCAGGGCTGGGAGAAGACACGAGCATCATTTAGAGCAAGGGCGATTACTCACGCTGTTGTTGCTTCCTTTGTTGTCCTCGTACTTGGTTTCTATATGGATGGAGAATTTCGGCAGAAAGGAACACTGTGGGGAAAAGAGAAGTGTCATTAGCTTAGCCTTTTGCATCTCTGCATGTGCGCGCCCACCCTCCATGCATCTGCATGCTCTGCCGACCACTTGGCTTGGAGTGCTGGCCTCCAGAGCAGAAATGTTAAGGCACAAAAGTCAGCAGTCAAATTCGAACCAGAAGAGCTGCCCAGAAGGGCGTGTGGACCCCATTCCTTCTCGAAGTCAAGCCAGAGAGAAGAACCGGCATTGGAGGGCAAGGGACTGAGGAGGCTTTCCCACATGGAGCATGTTCTAGGGCTCCGCTGGCCACTTCAATGGCTTTAGAAAAACAAGTTCCTGGCAGAGAGGCCAGTTCTAGTTCTGGGATACTTATCTGGGGATCAAGTCTTAACCTTTACATAGAGCTCTCACTCCCTGCCACCGATTCTGACCCAGAGCGACCCTGCAGAACAGGGAGGGACTGGCCCTGTGGGCTATCTTCTCCTGTTACAGGGTTGCTGACATTTCCGACATCATTCTGTAGTCATTTAGGTAAATCATGCCCTTCTAGAAATGTATCCATTTCTTCTAGATTTTCAAATTGTTTGGGATGCAATTTTTCATAAAACTGTATGATTTAAAAAAAAATCTCATTTGGTTCTGTTGTAATGTAATTTCATTTCTGACTCGTAGAATTTGCTTTTGTCTCATTCTTTTCCTTTGTTAGGTCTGCCAGTGGTTCATTGACTTTGGTAACCATTTCGAAGAACCAACATCTTGTATTAATATTTTTCTATAGTTTAAAATTTATCCGACTCCTTGATTTCTGCCCTAATCGTTACTATTTCTTTTCTTTTAGTATCTGATGGTTTGCTTTGCTATACTTTTTCCAATTGCTGTTCTGAGACTGTAACTCTTTACAGGAGTGCAAAGCCTCATCTTTTCCCCTTGAAGTGGGTTGGTGGTTTTAAACTGCTGACCTTGTGATTAGCACCCCAATGAATAACCACTATACCAACAAAGCACTTATATATTTATACATACAAATATGTTGGGGAGGTGAGATTTCAAATCATGACTTTTGAGGATAGCCAGACCTAGCTATTAATTTTGTGCTCTCACTTGATAGCTATGCGACTTTGGATAAGGCATTTAACGTCTCTGAACCCTCGTTAGGGATCTTGAGAGGATTAAATAAAAGCTTGTGTGTAACAGACCTAGCACAGGACACGGAATAAGCCTTCAGTACCAGAGGGTGACAGAAAAGGTGACCTCTCTTTTTGCCCACTCAAGGGAGAGAAGCCCCAAGTGCAACACAGTGAGGGCCCCAGTTTCACCGAGTGACAGCCGGCATGGCTGGCAGACTTCCTGGGCTAGGAGTAGCTGGAGCAGAGGCTCTGGATGGATGTTGACTTTCCTTCCCTCCTGCGGGCACTGAGCTGGGCACGTCTATTCTCGGGACTGAAGGCTCGTCAGTAAAAAGGCCTGGCACCCCGCCCCCCCCCTCCCCCCCCGGAGCTGCAGGGGTTGGGGGAATCAGACCTCGCAGGGCCCTGTCATAGCCCTGAAGGCCAGGCCTTCCTTCATCTCCCCAGAGTTCACAGGACAGGTCCTCTGCTTACAGGCACTACTGTAAGGGATTTCTATTTCAGACTCATTCCTTCCAACAACCCCATGAGGCAGGGGCTATTCTTATCAACCCCTGCATCACGGATGAGGAAGTGGAGGCACAGAGAGGTTCAGAATGTGGCCCAGGACCACACAGCTAGAAGCCAGGATGGAAGTCCTCATCAACTCAAAAACCAAACTCACTGCCCTCGAGTTGATTCCGAGTCATAGCGACCCTACAGGACAGTAGAATTGCCCCAGTGGGTTTCTAAGACTGACTCTTTATGTGAGTAAAAAGCCTTCTCTTCCTCCTGAGGAGCAGCTGGGGGTTTTGAACTGCTGACCTTGTGATTCCACCAGGGCGCCTTTGGAAGTCCTAATAGTCAGACTCTAATATCCTTGTGCTGAACAACCACTCAAGGCTCCCCTGGTGCTCCACGTGGGAGCCACAGCCTACCATCCTCCTCCTCCACCTTATTGGGAATGCAAGTTCTCAGGTCCGATCCAGACCCACGGAATTAGACGCTGACAGTGGGGCTGAGGCACCTACAGTTCACCAGCTCTCCAGGCGATGCTGTAGCGGCAGGGGCAAGTAGGTTTTGGGGGGAATTGTACCTGACATCCTCCAGTCCACAGACATTGACCCTCACCACTTGGGCTGCATCCCATGAAGCCTTGGCTTCCCTTCCAGCCCAGCTGAGACCCCTTGCTGCCTCTGTACAAGGCGGAGACCCTTGACCCGCTGCCGACAATCCTCCTGACCTCACCTGCCGGTGCGCACTCGACATTCATCCGGCTTAATCTGAGGGGAAGAAGCCCCCTGAAGCCGGCTAAAGAAACAGGGAAACAATCAATCCCAGTAATTGCCTCTGGGGAGAACAAGGCTCTGAGATTATTCATTAACACCTTCTTCCCTATCTCCTCTCAAACCTCTCACTCTTAACGACTGCCCTCACACCCAGTTCCAGGAAGTTCTGAGGGAGGAGCCGCTCCCCAGGGCCTGAGACCTTGAAGGACATGAGCAGCTCCTAGCCCCTCGGTGAACTCCCCACGGAAGGTGAACTTGGGGAGATGACTTGCCTAGGCGTCTTTTTCACAGTGACAAGCCAGCAGGGAAACGGACTTTGAACTATGTTTCCACCTGTAATTCACACGAAAGCTACCCACTAAGTGAACGGGGACCAGACGGCGGGAGAACAAAGCTGGTGCGGGCTGGGAAGCCGAGGCAGGATGTGCTGGCGTGGAACTCCCCAAGATATTCTGACCGACTGAACTTCTCCACCAGCACTTCGAACCAGTTCCTTCGGGGTCCACCCCCCAACAGAGAATTCACCGTCCCACCCCAGAGACACCTAAGCAGAATCGGCCGTTGAACAAGATCCCCCCTTAATTCTTAGGTATTCCGGTGGGAAGCCCAGTTCTAAACCACTTAACAAGGTCAGGCAAATGAATTTTCATATTTGGGCATTAAATCCAAAGATGAAATGCAAAGCTCCCATGCAAATGAGCAGATGTTGTTGTTTCTGAGTCAAGGACTTGGGCTATTTTCATATCAGAAATGGCTGCAGCGCACCTGGCTTGGCCAGACAGCACAAGAACTGAGACCAGACAGGCCAACTCCGGGCCGGTCAGCATCTTCTCTTTTAGCAGGTGCTTTGGGACTAATATTCCTTTGGGGATGTCTGATTGTTCACTGTAGAAGCCCCGGGGTGTGCAGGTGCCTCAAGTTAAAACCAGAAATATTTGCAGCTTGGGGCATTTTTCAGAGCTGTTCATCTTTCTGGCTAGATTTCCACCCAGAATGAAACCTCTCTGCTACCCGCATAGAGGTTAGTGTCACTAAAAAGCCACGTTCTCTCCTCTTAGAGGAGGTCGAACTGGTAAGCAAGGCCTTTTGTTTCTCCTGGGTTGCTCCCGACTGTACCCTGCCTCCCAAATCACTTCCCTCTTTGGGACTCCATGCCTGCTTTCACCCTTCCTGCATCCCAGTGGGTAATTTTGGTTCTTGGGTAAATGAGAAGGGCAGACTATGGGTAGAAACGCCTGCAATGTCTCTCTTTTCCATTGCGAATCTTCTGCTTATGTCTTTGTGCTTGGCAGTCTCTGAGAACCAGAGAAAGACATGCATTTCTTTAGTCTACCAAAACAAACAAAACAAAACAACGCAAAAACAATATACTGAACAGTCCTGGGCTCCAGGCTGAGAAGTACTGACGTGGGCCAATGATTTCGCCATCCCCAGCCTTGGCTACACCATTGATACAACAGAAACAACCCTTCTCCACCCTGTGGGAGTGCTGAGAGGACCCAGGGGACGAGAGCTCGCTCTTCTTGACCCAAACCTTCTCCTTGGGTGATTGCATTGCCCAGCCCACCTGCCAGATGGATTAGTTTCGGGATGCCTCCCTAATTGCCATCTCTAAGCTCAACTGTTCTTTGCTCAGTGGAAATCCCCAACATGGGTCCTACCAGGTAAATCCAACTTCATGGTTCCACGGAGACAAACTTACCACCCCCGATCCATGCTCAAGTCCGGCTGACGTGGTACCCTTAAGTGAGAGATTTGAAGCCTCCTACATCTGGCTCTAATCCCCCTCCAGTTCATCCCAAGAGTCAGAAGACCCCCTCCAGTCCTTGCGTAGTTGGCCGTGATTATTTTTTTCCGCACCCCTTTTCTCAGCCTGAAATGTCCTTCCTCCACCTTCCTCGAAGACCATCTCAAAGTGCACTTCAGAAAGGGCAGGTAGCATTCTGCTTGTGCCTTGATGGCAGCACTGATCTCATTTTCTATCGTCACAAATAGCTGTGCTTGTGCCTGGCTCCCCAACCAGATGATCAGCTCTGAGACGGTTTACTGAGATTCCACAGGAGGCCGCCGCCCCTACCAAGGGTAGAAACTAGAACACATCGTAAGCCCCACCCACGCCGACCCTTCGGGTGTCACCATGATGGGAAAATCTGCTGTCTGAGATGAGGGCTTTGCTTCAGAAAAGAAAATTCTCTCTAACTCAGTCATTCTCAAATGAAGGGAGCCCCTCACCATTCCAGTCTTGGACTTTCTCAAAGGATCTGCTAGAGGTTTGGATGCATCCTGCTAGATAGGGAAATCCTGTACCATTGAGGGGACTGTGTGTGGGGCAAGGGAATGGGGAAAAGATTGGGAATCCTAGGTAGCCATAAAAGAACAGAGTCTGGGAAGAGAGGCATCAGGAAGACGTCTAAGGGGCTCGGAAGACTCCTTCTCTGTTCTCTGAGCACAGTCATTTGAAAACATTGAAAGCTTAAAGCAGTGGTTCTCAACCTTCCTAACATAGGTCCTCAATGTTGTGGTGACCTCCAACCATAAAATTATTTTCATTGCGACTTCATAACTGTAATGTTGCTACTGTTATGAATCGTCTGACCCCCAAAGGGGTAGAGGCCCACAG